TTCTAAACAGTTTTATATAATATTACAGTTTTATTATTTGTATATTCTACCCAACAAATATTTTTAGAAAGAAGTGTGGTATTTTAGAGCTAGTGGGCTTGATGTATTGTATTTTTGTTTTTAATGAGTTTTATTATTTAATAATAATTGAAGTAAAGTAGTCGGTATTCTTATTTTAAAATTCATTACACATATATAAAATTACTTATTGCAGAGTTATCAAAAATGTGGGTGGAAATTGTAGGTTTAACTTGTTCTCGTGTATGTTTACGATAAATAAACATTTCAATCTTTTTTATAAAATAAATTTAATTAAAAAATTTAAAAATAAAAAGCAAAAATTAAATTAAAAGATCTAAGAAAATTTCTAAAAATAAAATTAATTTAAAATGTTCCGTGTATCCTTAATTAAGTAGCTTATAACAAAAACAAAACTTTATTAAATTAAAATGAAATAAAATCAAACATGTTTTTGGTATAAAAAAAAATCCCTATGGACCCTTAGCGTTTTTTTTATGTTTGCTCTATTGTTTAGGGAAGGATTCTTATTTCAAATAGAAAATTTTTGTACGTTTTTCATACAAAAGTAAAAAGAGGAACTTTAAATGTCGGCTCGAAGAGTTTCTTTTTTTATGATCTTTTGCACCACGCAATGCTGACGATAATGGAAGTAATTAAAAATTCATATAAAATTAGAGAATTTTTATAGTGTTTTCTTTGTCTATTCAACACATCAATCCGATTCGACCGGCTTATTTTATACATACATACTTATGCATTTTTATAAAATTTATAATTAAAATTCTTAAAAAAGAAAACTAAAGATAAAAAATAATTCAGGCATGACTTTGCATCACTTTTAGGGCATCACTAATGCGATTTATTTGTTTGTTAATTATTAGAATTCATTCTTTTTTTTACTTAATATTTCCCTTGTTGCAGCGTGACGAAAGTATTTTTTTCAAAGTTGTGTATTTTACCATTCATACAGTTTTTTTTTGTTTTTATTTAGGATGCTGTCATATGACTGAATTTTAGCAGAACGGTAACACAAAACAAAAATATTCAACACAATTTTTTGTTTTTGTTTTTTTGTTAACAGAAATGTTATTTGTTATTAATTTCTTTTTGTTCTCTTGCTTTTTTATTTATAAAATTGAGTAGGTGATGCTATGCAATAATTTTGATTACGACTTCCGATTCTGATTATCATATTATCATTTAAAAACAAAATTTCGATAAAAGAGATTCGAATTTGATTTGATACAAATTTCTCTATGGTATATGGTGTGAATGGAACATACGCTATTTTGTTTGCATAAAAGAAAAGAAAAAAAAAGGAAATGCATTCATGGATTAAAAGAAAGGAAAAAAATATTATGTAAAATTGAAATCAAATCGGATTTAGGATGAATAAATAATTTATTAAAATAAAATATAAAAAAAGGAAAAATTAATTATTAACGCAATAATTAATAAGAGCGTATTATGCTTTAGTATTTAAAAATGTTAATCTGGGGTGCAAAATCAGAGACGAGCATTAGTCTGTAATTTTATTGACAATTTTGCCGAAAAAAAATTTTTTACTTAATCTTAAAAAATGTGAGGAAAAATTAAAATTTTTGTAGAACAAATTTTTTCAATTTATTTTTAGCAGTTTTCCAAAAAATTTTGAAAAAAGTGCCTATTAGTTTCACTATATTTATCCGTCCGTTCGTGAATATGTTTACAAAACCTCTAAACCCTTGAATCTAGAAAGCTGAAATTTCATGTGTACATAGATCTTATTATAAATTCATTTATTCGTTTTCATATAAATTTAACTTGTAATATTATTGTATTTTTACAAATTGAAATAAAGGTTTATTGAATTATTGTATTATTATACTTATTTTGGTAGAAAAGCATTTTTGAATATCTGCCTCCACCTAAAAGTTATAACCTCCAAAACATTAAAAAAGGTCGTTCGTAACTATTTATTGCAGCGAAACAATAAGCATTTTCCACATTTTGCAAACGTAGAAAAGTATGTGTTAGTGGTTGGCTTCTTCTACCGCGGATTTGGACCTTAAAAAACAAAATGGTTTCAAAATTCAGTGTTATTCAAATTTTTCTTTTTTCACATTTTTGATATCATTTTTATTTTAGACTTACGATTATAGGAGTCTGAAATTTTACCAGATATTAATAAATAGTTCATTTCGTTAGAAGAAAATTTTTCTTCACCTCCTCCACCTCTTAAGTTATCGCTTGAAATTTGAATTTTTGCCACTATACAGGGTGATTTACCCTGAAATACTTTAAATATTATTTATCGATTTAAACAATCATTCATATGCATTCATTTTTATTTTTTTAATTAATTAACGTTTTATTATACTTGAAGAGTTACATTTATTGACCAGCTGCGTTCTAATTGACTGAATTGAATTGCAATTTTGTGTAAAATTTTTGTGGTCTGTAAATAACAAGTGAAAACACAAATATACTACCGATTCTTAATAACCTACGTAGATACGTAGCTCCAGTATGTTAATGAACTGAATAACTACTAGATTAATTAATATGATAGGCACACTTTTCTTCTCATTATGAATAAAATAAGGCGGACACCTTATTGTCCTTATAAAAAATATGATAAATTCACTTATTCTGTCTAATTTTAAAAATCGAAACTAATTTTAAATTAATTCTAAATAAGTATACATACATAGTATTAATTACATTAAATTAATGAGGTTTCATATTGTTATTGGCTTAATTAATAAAATTTGATTATTTTATGTGTGTATGTAACCCACTAATGGGAATCAATATAAAATTCTAGTGTAAATTTTCACAAAATTAAAATTTTTTTGAGTCATTAAACATAAAATTTTTTTTATTTGAAAATTAAAGGTTAAAAATTATTATAATAATTTTTAAAAAGCGCCCCTTTAATGTTTTAGTAAAAAGTTTCTCAGCTAACAAATAAATAATTTTTCTTATGATTCTTAAATTTTTGTTATAAATGAAAAATTTTAACTGTTTATTTTTGTGACAAAACTGTAATTCTCATCTTAATTGCTATCATGATCTTTATTTAGCCTGCATACTAAAATGAAAAAATTAGTTTGTTATTATTGTACCAAATTGTTATACTCCCACATTTAAATTAAATTGCTACTAAAATTACTTAAATTCTTCCAAAAATAAAATTCCTTCTTTTCATATATTCTTAGTTCTCATTGAATTGTTTGTTTTTTTTTTTAAAACAATTAAAGTCACATAAAAAATATAATAACGCAAACTAATTAAAATGATGTTCAACAAATTTGTGAGTTAAAAAGTTTTGAAAATTGTATAAAGGAAAAAAAAATGATTTTAGGCGAACGACATTGCCGTACACTTCAAAAATTTTTCTTTGATTCCAAATAAATTTATTTCTCATAAGTGCTAGGAATATAATAATACAGTCAAAGCTAGATATAAAGAAATCCTAATTTTCAAAGAGTTAAAGGTTTTCGTTCCAATTACAGAGTTTTCTTAATAATTGACTCTCTAACTTAAGTGTCGATGTAAATGAAAAATATATGTACATTCAAAATTGATTTGACTATGTCAAATTGTTAGGAGTGTGAGTAGCCATAAGTACGGAACAAAATTTTTACAAATATAAAATTTTTACAAGTATAAAGTCAAATATTCAACCAAAGAAGTAAATTGTACAAACGAAAAGGTCAAGAAAAAATATTGATAAAGAAAATATTTCAATTAAAAGGCAACGGCAATCTTAATAAAAGAAATTGTGTGAAGACGAACTGAATTTAAGGATAAGATTCACAAAATTAGTTGCTCTTACAAAAAGTGCTCAATACTTATAGAACGTAAAATATCCCTCTTATCACAGTTCAACTGTACAAGAATGAAAATAAACTTTAAAAATCACAAAACCGTAACGTATTGTCAGTCACACTATGATGAACATTTAAAGACAGTTGATAATTATTAGAAGCCAATATGTAGTATCCGTATGTGTGTCTTATTAAAACAAGTGTGTCAGAATATAATATCCGTATTTTAGCATATGCGAGTAAAATTTTTATACAGGTGGAAATAACGTATACAAATATGAAATAAAAATTTTTGTTATAAATTGACTGTAACCAAAGTACATTTTTTATTTAGTTGATAGTTTTCTTTTCTCTTTCTTCTATTTTATACACAATATGAATACAAACATTAATATAAGTGTATGTGTCAGCCAGAAAGTAATTTGCGGTTATTTAATTTTTATCGGAAAACCACATCATACCCACTATACCTCCGACTACATCTTTGATTCCAATTATATAAGAAGCTTTAGTAACGGTTCGGTAAAATTTGCATGCTTTGCATTCTAGTACTAAACAAAATTATAATTGTAAGTAATTGTAGTTGTATTCTAAATTAGGGTTTGTGTAAGGGGTTACTATTTTTATATATGTATGTAAAATATTGAATTATGAACGCTTGGAAACGTTTTAAAGGAGTAAATTTAAATCAAAAGGAAATCTTGTTAGCAATATGTTTCCTGTCATTCAATTTGTGTTCTTAAGTTCCTACAATGTGTTGTCATCTCAATTTTTAAGAGGGTTCCCCATTTTATTGTTTCTTTTGTTAAAATTCATAAATTATTAACGCTCCTTTAAATAGTTCACGTATATGTATTTATTTTATAACAGGTATAACTTTATCTCTATTTTGGAATCAGCAATCAACATTTTCAAATGAAATTTTTAAATTGTTTTAATTGCTTTTTTCACCTCATAAAAGAAGGGTCTTCGCCATAAGTATACATACATAAATCATTGTGTAATGTTCGATTGTATCTAAACAAATAAATATAAAACAAAAATAACAATTTAAGTAAGCAAAATATTAATAAAACGTCATTCGTCATTTTGAAATTTTATTCATAAAATCTAAATTTCACAATTTTTTCATCATGATAAATTTTTTTAATATAAAATTTTCTAAAGCTCCACAGTTTTATACAAGATGGTATCGTGAAAATGATATGATTATTGATTCAAGACACCAAGATGTACCGCCACCAGAACGTTATCATTTATGGCCAAACGGAACATTACAAGTAACAAATGTTCAAACAGAAGATACAGGTGATTTTCGTTGTGAAGTTATAAATCAATCTGGAATTTATGGTGAACAAGAACATGCAATTGAAGTACAATATGCTCCAACTGTTATTACATCACCAAGCGGCACAGTTGAATTTCAAATTGGAACCGTATTTGAAATAATATGTGAGGCAAAAGGTTATCCAAATCCAATTATAACATGGCGTCGTAAAGGAATTGATCAACCAAATCAATCAGATCGATTAGAGAATCGTAAAAGGCATTTAGTAGAAATTGAATCACGTGATGATTCTGGTCCAATTGAATGTGTTGCTGAAAATGGTGTTGGTGAACCGGCTGTTGATGGAATTTATTTGAATGTTTTATGTGAGTATTTATTTTAGATTTTATTATTATTAATTTAAGTATTTTTTTTCTGCATTAAGGATTTCTTATCTTTTATAACTTGTAATTTAATTGTTTCCTTTAATCAAAAATCTAAAGATTTGCCTAAGCTCGTCTATTTTATAAAAATTAAGTATAGCCAAATCCTATTATTATAAAGAAATTTTAGGACAAACTTCGGATTCTCAAATTCATAATTTCAGAATTAAAAAAGGAACCTTCAACAAATTTTTAATGTATATGAATTGGGCTATTTTAAATTTATAATAGAATTAAAAATTATCAAGCTCGTAGTACACATTTTCTATGAACACGAATAATTCATATTTTCAAAAACTGCAGCTTGAGGTACAGCTTATGTCGGACAACTTGTCTAATGTGACTTAGAATCAAAAATAAAATCTTGCAGTTATTTCCACAATATTTATTATTTTATTCTTTATACAAATAAAGTGACCGTAAAGATATCGATACACAAATCTTATGCAAATATTAAATCTATTGATAAATTCCAATATTTTTTCTATGTCAATTTTATTTTCCTTAATATCATATTACATAATAATATAAAATCACATTTCTTCTTGTTTTTCCTTTTAACATTTGATCTTATATATTTTTCTAATTTTTTTTTTTTATTGTAGTTCCTCCAGAAATTAAAGTACTTCAAAGTATTGTTCACACGAAAATCAATATGCGTGCCCATTTAGAATGTATTGTAATATCAGCACCACCAGCTAAAGTACAATGGTATCATCATGGGGTACCAGTAACCACTGATATGCGTATTGCACGGAATGATGTTGAAATTCATAGGAATAGATCACAAAGTCATTATTATACAGAAACAAAACATCAATTAGTTGTTAAAAAAGTACGTGATTCTGATTTAGGAATGTATGAATGTCGTGCTGAAAATAAAGTCGGTTTTAAATCATCAACAATTGAATTAACTGGTAGACCAATGCCATGTTTATTTAAAACATCACCAGTACAACAACCAGGAACAGCACATACATTAATTTGGCAAACTGAGAGTTTATCACCAATATCTGAATATAAATTGAAATTTAGGCAGGTACCCTCAGGTAGGTCATTATTTTATTTATAAATATGTTAAAGAGATTTCAATTAATTATAAAAATAAAATTGATTTTTATTCTTGTTTTCTAGAAATTTCTAAAAATTATTAATTTTAAATTGATTAATGCATCGAAAATATTATGAATACATTGTATTTTACTCAAGTATCTCTAAAGTTTCTATAAATGTTGGTTCAACATGTAAATTGTTTTTTTTTTTTTGTAATTTGATGCAATTAATAATAATTCTATTTTTCATTTTTTTATTTTTTTTTTTAAATTATTTTCTTTTTTAGGTAATGTAACACCACAAAATAGACCGCCTGTTATGAATTGGAATGAACTTACAATACCAGCTGAGTTTTCAGAGGGTAAGTTGTGTTACACTTGTCCATGGAGCGTATTACATACTAATAAAATATTAATATAGAGTAGTAGAACAAAGTAAAAGAAAATAATGCATCCGATCCAATGTATATAGAAAAAAATAATGACATAAATTGAGGGTAAAGTGTAAAGGGTCATACAGTAGGTTTACAGCCAAGATTAATAAGTATATATGCTTTCTATAGGTGAACTAAAAATTATAAAGAATGTAAAAAAATAAGAAAATGTAAAAGTTTATACTGAAGGAAATGAAAATTTATTATTTGTAATTAAACACCAGAAGATGACATCAAAAATGAAAATATAAAATTAAGAAGCGTGTTGAGAAATTACTCGAATGAAAAATATTTTTCTTTTTTGCTATAATACCTATTTGTAGATCGTCGTCATAATATTATGGTATGATGACTTAAATTTTATTTTAGAGATGAAGATAAAATTTCTCTTATTATAGAAACTTCAATTTTTAACTTTTTTAAAAATCAATTTCAAATTCATCCAAAACTTTATAAGGTCAAATTAAAATTAAAGAAGAGAGGCAAGTTTTAGAAGAATAACAAGAATATAATCATATTTAAATGAAGTACAGAAAATCGTTGCCTAATTTACTTTAAAGACAATACAAATGCATATTGGTCCTTACCATAATTTAATTAGATCTCATTTTTTTCGGTTCTAACCTTTAGTATATTTTAAAAATATTCATGAATTATTAAAAAAAAAAAAGGAAAATTTTGTGTTTAATTTCCAAAACTCAAAAGCTCTTAAAATATTATTTTTATCAGTTCATTCATGGCTCTATTATGATTGATAAATTACGAGTAATTGTTGATGCTTGTACTCGTAATAACAAAGAAAAAATCTAAGAAATAAATTATTGATAATTTTTTATATGTGCTGATATATATAGCTGTGTATTCCGATTTAAGTGTGTAAATTTGCATGTTTAACTACAATAAAATTTAAAATTTCAAATATTGATTAATTATTGAAATCTAAAGCATTGATAGCGAAATATTGATTGAAAATTAAATTTTTATTGAAAGAGGTCATTAACATTCAGAATTTTTGTTTTAATTTCTTTTATTTAATTTATTATTTATAAATAAATCTATGTTAATTAATGTAATTTAATCTAGCTTTAATAAGCTTCAAAATATATGTATGTAATATGTATTTGACAGTGAAGGAAATATTAATTAGAATCTAAGATTCGTAACAATTGGTTTATATAAGGGCAGTTGAAAAATTTCTTTAAAATATTTTATATGTAAAATAATGAATAAATAAATAAATTGACAAAATTTTCCAGAAATTATTAAATTCATAAAATTATTATGAATTATGTTTATATATTTTTGTATAATAATTTTTAATCGTATTACACTTTAATTGAAAAAACAACTGAATTGGCATTAGTTGGTTATTGATACATTGAATATGGGATTACATTTTTTAAACACTCTGTATAAAAATCATAATACATTTATATAAAAAAATTTTCAAATATTTTATTGGTAAAAACACCAGGAAATAAATTTAATTTCCTGCAGTTTCCAATATAAAATAGAAATGATTCTTGTGTGATATGCGAAGAGCAGCTATTATTGATTGTAGCAGCTATTGTTGGTTGGTTGTATTGTGAGAAACTCTCTGAATAGAAATTATGACATCTTCCCACACAATGAAATAAACTATCATTTTTAGTTGATGTCCAAATTATTAAATAAATGATCGTTGATCTGTTCTTTTTGAATATTAGTATTTTTTTTTTATATATACAAGAAATTATGAGTCTAGGTGATTATAAAAAATTTGTGAATTTTTTTTTCTGTTTTTCTTTTATAGTTATTTACAATGTAATATCTGATTGAAATTAGATAGATAAGAGAAGATGAGTAGTTTATATAAGCAAATGGATATAATGTACATTATGTCCAATCTGTTATATTGTTATTGTACAATGAATTGTATTGGATTTTGTATATTCTATAAAGGTTATACTTTATTGATACGGTTGATTGATAAATTTTGTAAATTGATAGTGATTATGTTAGATTAAATGGAATTTCATAAATATACTTACATACAAATAATAAATATGTATGTAATAATGAAGGGGATTTAGTGAACAATAAATTATATTCAGGCATATATTATATTAGAAATTTTTATTAGATTATAAATTTACATAATTGTAAGATAGACGTGCGCTTTTCAGTATTTCATTTAAAATAAATAAGAAGGCAAAAATGATAATAATTGAAAGAATTAAAAATTTAATTTTTTGACTTAAGAATTGTAATAAATTCTATATAAAATCATTCAAAAGAAATTTATTAAATATGAATTTAAAAACTAAATCAATTTCTTCCTATCTTATACAGGGTGTATTCAACATATACCATCAGGTTGACAGACAGTCAAAAATGAGTGAAATTTTGTTCGGCACATAATGTCAAATCTCTGAATCGTTTCTAACCTACAGAGAAAATTTGGCGAAATTTTAATCATTTTTTATTTTTTTGTTTTACTTTTTATACTCAGACAATTTCTCATGAAATTTTTTGAAACTTCCAAAAATGTTTTTTACGAAATGTTCTCCGCATGTTAAGCTTTAATATAAGTCATCAAAACTTAATTATGGTTTTGGAGATATAGCAAAAAAAATTATTTGAATTTCAAGATTTTAAAGTTCTTGATGAAAATTGTATAAAATCAAAAAATTATCATTATTTTTAATATTTATTAATTTTAATTACTATTAAAATGGTGATTCCAAGAGCAGTTCATATTTTTAAGAAATTTTACTTTTTAGGCCTTCTACCCAATGATATATACAGCTTTTAACCTGTTTGCTAAATCACCCAGTATAATAAATGAAAAAACTAAACATTTGCTTTTAATTGTGTGAACAAAATTATGGTTTTTTTTTTTTTTAAAGATGGTAAGGTTATTTACATATTATGTAAAGAAAATTGACTCTATTTTCCATCTTAGAACAGAAATTTATTAAAGTTACCAAAATAATATTAAAATATAAGTACAAGTGAACAGTATTTGAAGTAATTTGGCGTAAAATTTTATGTATTTACAGACAATTTAAATGCCACAGCTTTTGGTTTCCGTTTATCATCCTAAAAACCCTTGAAACTTTTAGTTGTTTAGTTAACTATATTTTATTTTCAAAATGCAATTTCTTAAATTTTATTCTATAAGAGACCAGAAAATAAAGTATGACTCTTTCCATTACTTACTTTTCAAATTGACCCATCTAAATGATGCATTACAAAAATTGATCCTTTTCACATTAATAAATTAATTTCAACCACATAAATGTTTTATTAGTTTCTCAATTATTTTGCTTATTCTGCTACAAGATTAAAATAGTTATTAAAAATTAATATAAAACTTAAATGTAAATTTTAAACCTTATTTCATTTTATATGTTTTTTAGGATCTATTCATGTTACAACATATACTCTACGTGGTTTACAGCCAGCAAGTGTTTATGAAGTTGCAGTAACAGCTAGAAATCGTTTTGGTTGGAGCGATAATAGTAAAATTATAAGATTTGCAACTGGTGGAGAAGGTATCATTTGTGAAATTAATAAAATTTTTCAATTTTTAATTAATTTTTTTATTTATTTATTTTAGTTGAATTAAATTATTCCACTGAAACTCATTATACAAGTTACGATGATTTCGAAGATAATTTCTTAAATGATCATAGCGTATCAAGTGTTCAACAATATTCAGCTGCATCGCCATCATCACCACAATCTCCATCATCTTCACCTTCACTGTCATCTTCATCATCCTCAAGTAGTAGTCAAGTTACATATGCAAGAGCCACAGTTTCAGCGAATAATTACATTAAATTTAGCTTTAGTCAATATTTAAAGTTATTACTCTTAATGATATTTTATTTAATATAAGTATAAATAATAAATATATTTTAAAAGATATTTTTAATTTTAACGAATTATTTTAAATAATGTAAGTTTAAGAAATAAAATTAATGTGAATAGTGCCTATTTTTACATTTTTGTTTTTCACTACACTTTTCTAAAAAAGGAACATTGTCACAATTTTGAATAACTGTGACAATGTTTTTTTTTTTTTAAATTTTAAATAACTGTATATCAAAGGATAGCCGTAATATAGTTTTTGATTTTCCAAAAAATTAAAGGTTAATTTTTTTAACAACCCGAATTTAAATATCAAATGTCAAGGAAGTTGTTTGATTATTTCTCTTTTTATGTGCATAAATGTAAAATCGGCCCGCAAAAAAAGGTCCTGATTTGATATATCCGTAAATCTGATCAATCCATGCTATAACCAAAATAAACTCACATATAAAATTTCATCAAAATCAGTTCAACCGAACTTGAGATACATGTGTGCACTCATTAAACGACAGGCGGACATACTAAGATGGCTCTAAAAATTAAACGAGGAAGTACGTTTCCACTGAAAATTCAGCATCCGAAATTTGATACCATCACATCCTCCCTTATTGTATGCAATGCGGTCGTTAAAAATGTAATGTAATTCAATCAAGGTTTGTCACCATTTACTTTTTCAATTGTAGTGAACAATATTTTTCTTCAGCAACAGTACGTTTCATTTACATCTTCAAATCACTCATGAGTAGCGACAACTGAGCATTACCTCGAACAAATGCGTAGATAATCTTGCAAATTACCTTATTTTTTTACTATTATACTATTTATTATAGTATTCCTATTTTACAACAGATGGATTTTATATTTTCGGAGTTATTTCAAAATTTTGACATTGCAACAATAAAAGAGCTATATGAAAAAAACTTGTTGTAACAATAAATTAATTATATATGTACTGAAAAACACATGAACTAGAAGCTGCACATATATAATTAGAACACAAATAAGTTAATGTTTACATTCCAATTGTAACTACTCCTACTCTAAACTAAACCTATTCATGCTTTAGTACACCATTCACCACACTATATTAGCTGCGTTCATTTGCTTCGGTTCGTGTTGATTGTGTTCTTATAAAATTCAAAAGAGCATTTAGGGTTTTTGTACTTGATAATATTTTTAAGTTGCAAACCCTAATTATTTGTTTAACTGGTCGTCCACAGATGTCGCTGTTTAACAAATCTAAAATAATAATTCTTCAGTTTTTATTATTGTAATAAATATATTTATTGAAATAAAAATTTTGAACAAAATTTTAAACGTATCTTCCGCTTTGATTTTCAATTTTTTATTTAATTGAATGTAATTTACTCTATTGCAAATTCATAACTACTACCATTTCATTCATACACTACCAAAAATAGTATTACTAAATGTTTAAATTCTGGTTAAAAACCATATTTGGATTTTCATTATTTATTAATTTTTTTTCCATATCGAATAACTTATCTAGAATTTGAACCTAAGCAAAAGAACGCATCTTACATAGAAACCAATGAAGGAGTGGATAAACAGTATTAACACAGATTTTTTCTTACAGATAGCGTTATTGAAAATATATTATAACAGATCCTTCTAACAGATGCTATATTTATCAATAGATGGAAAATGTTTAACAACAAATCTAACTTTTTTCTACTGTGTTTTTAGAAATGAAAGCCGAAACAAATAAAAATTAGTTAATATATTTCAGTTAATTTTTTCATCAATTTGTAATTTCTTAAATTGCAAATTGATGTCACATTGAAAATGACTTTAATTATTATTATTATATTTAAAAATTCACACTATTATTGATTTTATTATTAAAACAATAAAATTAATATTTACTTTATTAAAAACATTAAAAACAATGGCGTCCCTGTAGCTAAGACAATTAATTTGTTTTTCTGGGACAATATAAAGAATTGGTTCATAGAGTTTATGTGGAATAAAAATTCTTTTTTCTTTTACTGCCATCTGTTTAAGAATAGAATAATATTGAATTATTCTTTGACACTTAGTGTATACTACTTTCAGAAAGTAAAAATATTTTTTGCTCCCTTGAACAATACTTTAAATCATTTTTGACATTTTTTAGATAGATTCGTAACAAAAATTTCTGTTCGAGTATCGATTATTTATATTGATACTCTATAATACAAAATAACATAAAAACACAGTTTATTTATTTTGTTTTGTAAACCGTGAACATATGTTTTACACGTGCTTCAAAATTATCTAAATACATAGCTCATGCATTTTTTTTTTTGCTGGATGGTACTGAAGTCGATAAGTGCAAATAACTAGTTTATTTTCAATAATTTTTCAAAAATTGCGAATTATAACAATTCTATCCATAAAACAATAAAATATTAAATTTCATACCCGCCATGAAACTGCAAAAGATCAAAAGCAAAAAGTTAAATGGCGAAAGCAAAATAAATAAGTCCTGGAAGAAAGTCAAAATCAAAGGAAATGTCTTTTCGGAGGAAGGATGCGGTCTTGAAGGACTAATTGGACTAGAAGTTATGGAGGACTATGACACTGGGCTAATTGCTAAGGCCAAAAAGGTGAGTTTCTGATATTTTTTTCTAAATGTAAGTAGGCAAATTCCTTTGAAATTTCTATTACAGATGTACATACAAAATTTATTATTTTCAGAAATCATCTCCGTGGAAAGAACAAAGCAAGCAAAAAAAAGGTAAGCGAAAGAGTATATCCGATAACAGTAATGAACAAAAAGAATTGATTCCAAAAAAGAAACGAAAAATTGCTAATAGAGCGGGATCTAAAACAATTCCGGGCCAGTTCGTACTTTTAAATAAAGTCGAAAATGAAAATGATAAAACGGATTATCCTACGTCGATGTCAATAGATGACCTTCAACATTGGAATGGTTTTGGTATTCCTGAAACAATTTTAAAAGCTTTAGCTGAAAAGGGATTTAAATCACCAACAGAAATTCAATCTTTAACTCTTCCAGCTGCTATAATGGGTAAAAAGGATATTTTAGGAGCTGCAGAAACAGGAAGTGGGAAAACTTTAGCATTTGGAATTCCAATTTTAGTTGGTATTCTTGAGCTTAAAAGTCGCAACTCTGCTTTTGGAATACGAAAGCAACAAAAGATTTCAAATACAAATATTAAAGAAGAAGAATTAGATAATCAAACCCCTCCACCTGAAGAGACCAATTCTGTCGAGTTTGCTGATTTCTCTGAGGAAAGTGAAGTTGAAGAAAATGAAAATGATAAAGAAGATAATAAAAACAAACCTTTATATGCTGTTATTTTAACACCCACAAGAGAATTAGCAGTTCAAGTTAAAGATCATATTACGGCAGTAGCTAAATATACAGGAATTAAAGTTGCTGCTATATTTGGTGGTTTAGCCCAGGTTAAACAGGAAAGAATATTAAAATCTTGTCCAGAAATTATTGTTGGGACTCCTGGTAGAATGTGGGAGCTTCTATCGCTTGGTAATCCTCACTTAAATAAAATTGATAACATAAGCTTTTTAGTGATTGATGAAACAGATAGAATGATTGAAAAGGGGCATTTTGAGGAACTAAGAATGCTATTGAAGCGCTTGAATTCCGATGAAAATAAAAAAAATATTCGTCAAAATTTTGTTTTTTCTGCAACTTTAACTCTTGTGCATGATATTCCAGATCACTTACGTAGTAAGTTTACCACTCGTAATACTTTGTAATTGCTGTTATTAAAAAAAGTAATTTTAATTTTAGAAAAAAATCAAAATAGAAAATTAAAACTGGTAAAGGATACTCCAGGTCTTAAAATACAAAAACTTGTTGAAGAACTTGGCATATCGCAACCAAAAATTGTAGATATAACCAGAAGTGAACGTAAGTTTTAACAAAAAAATTAAATTTTCCGTTGAAAAATAATATTTTAATAAATGGTAATTTCTTTTTAATTCTTTAGAAACTGCTCAAAATCTAACTGAAAGTCGAATTCTATGTCCAATTGATGAAAAGGATTATTATTTATATTACTTCCTGCAAAGGCATCCAGGGAGAACTATTGTTTTTTGTAATTCTATAGACTGTGTAAAAAGATTGGCCAAATTATTTACAATATTGAATTGCTGCGCTCTGCCCTTACATGCTAATATGATTCAAAAACAAAGATTAAAGAATCTGGAAAAATTTCAAATAAATGCGAATGGGCTCCTTATAGCTACTGATGTTGCTGCTAGAGGTTTAGATATTCCTGACATTCAACACGTCATTCATTACCAAGTATTTTTTGTTTTTTGAATGTTAAAAATTATAGTTGATTTTGTAAAATTTTATGTAAGGTACCAAGAACCAGTGAAAATTATGTGCATAGATCAGGTAGAACAGCACGTGCAAATAAATTGGGAATAACAATTATTATTATGGAACCAAGTGAAGTTAAAAATTATTTAAAACTCTGCAAGACATTAGATAGAAGTAAATAAACAAAACGTTAATTTTGTTAACTTCAGAAATATATAATTATTATATTTTATAGATGAAGATTTGCCCTTGTTTCCAGTATCGGAAAGCCATATGAAAGGAGTAAGAGAGCGTGTTAACCTGGCTCGTGAAGTTGATAAATTGGAGTTGAAAAATAAAATAATTTCAAGTGAAGAAGGTTGGTTAAAAAAAACTGCAGAAGAAATGGATATAATAATTGACAGTGATGTTGAAGAATCAGATTCTGATAATGAAATTGCAATGCAGAAATCGAAAGAAAAACAACTATTAGCAAACAAAAGACGAGCTTTGATTTCTTTGCTAAGCAAACCTCTATTTCCTAAAGGATTCAGTTTCAAATATCCGAATCTATCGAATTTTTCTAATTTGAACATATTGAATGAAACTTCTTTCAATTCAGACAAAAATAGTGCTATTAAAGCTGTACAGGATTCAATAAAAGATTTAAAGGAATCTAAACGAAAGAAAAAGAAAAAAGTGTGTGAAAATTTTTAATTTTCCAATATATATATATGTCCGGAATTGCGTACTATATTTTATTCAGTTATAAATAAAAAATTTTATATTACAAATGTTTTGCTACATAGTAACGTTGACCATTTACAGTAACTGATCGCGCATATTTCGCTAATATTGAAGACACAGATAAAGTTGGTGTTGAAAAATATCTAAAAAATTAAAATAATAAAAAGTAAAAATGGCATAAAAAAAAATTCTAACTCTATGTATGGCTCCAACTCGTCAAGGGTCCACCGGTGCTTTGTTTTAAACAACGTTTTCAAGCGCTCATGAAGATTTGTTGATAAATTATCTTCGCATAATGATTTCACACATGGCAAAGCCGAATCTCTGTCGATAATGCCAAGACCACGGAGATATGATTCCTTTTGCGCGAAATGAAATTAAATGTAAACGACAAATTCTAAGTATAAAATAATATGATAAATTAATATATAAACTACCTCAATTTTGAAATTTTCAGGTACCGCCTCTTGCCATGTATTCATAAATTCATCAATTCTGAATTTTAAACCTGGTTGTAAGATATTTTTTGCAATAATTTTTGCTACCATTTCTTGATTATATTGAAATTTTCCATCATTATTTCCACTTGAAGTTGTATATAAATCAAAAAGCCCCTCCACAATATCATGTGGGGCAATTCCTTGTAATGCTTCTATAGAAACTTCCCTATCTATTTCATTTAATTGCCAGGAGTTTTCATTAATCAGACCCAACATTATATTAATAATTCTATATTCATACCTGAAAATTTTTAAATTATATGGGAAGGTAATTTTTTTAATTTGTAGGTGAAACACAATAATGAAATATTTTAAAAACAAGTTTTTCTTACTCATAATCCAAAACTCTCATATATCCATCAATCTCAAGGGCTCGATATTTTTTTAATCCGATTAAAAATTCGTTTTTACTACATTGAATAGTGTTCAGAAGTTGTTCAAAAGTGAATTTAAGTTTTTTATCGATGCAATATTCATTTTCAGGACCAGAATATCTAGTTAATTGCAGGAGATCGCCTAATTTTCTAAATCGAGGTTGAATTTCACGACATTCAAAGTACTCATGAAAAATTTTTAATACGTGACAATGTTCTAACTGCCTTGGGTAAATTATATCATCATCTGCACTGTCATTCAAGCTACTGTTATGTGAAGTATTTTGATTTTTTGGACTTTTCAAGGGCGAAGTACTAGTAGCTTGTGCGAATTTTAAATTTGGACATAACATTAAACTATTTGATATTTCAGCTTCTTTTACTTCATAAGTTTTATTCTCTGTACATAAAACTACTTTTTCATTTAAGCCGCCTTTAAAATATAGTGAGTTTCCTTGCTTAATTTCATTCAAGATATTACTGTCTAATTCAAGTAATTTTAGATTATTTAAACCCGCTTCTTCTTTAGGATAATATATTGCCTTTAAATAAAAATGTTGAATTTATTTAGAAAGACAAATAAATTTTTTATTTAAAATTTTGGAAATACTTGTGCTACTTCAGTTAAATTACGCCTGTCCAATTTTGCATGATCTATTATGGATTCAACATCTTCAATATTTCTTACATATCTATAGACAAAATGCATATTTATTACAAATGCTAATAAAATTAATTTTGAATTGTACGTATGTAGGTATTTGAAATAGAATTGCTAACTTACAAATTTCCATCTTCAAATTCCATACTTGCTTTGAATAGTTGTTTCAAAATGAGATTATAAATATTACATCGACATATAAGATAAACCAAGAACTAAAATGTTTTTTGTATTATCTATCAAGAACCAACATCAAAATATTTACAAAAAAAAAACTCAACTACCTACAGGTGCATACCTATGTATGTTTATTTATATAGTTAGTTTGCTAATTTGATTATTTGAGTCCCGCCAAATTGCTAACGTCAAAATTGCCGCTATTGTTGAAAATTCGAGTCTTGTCTCAACAATGTCTTTTAACATTTTAATTTAAAGACTTATTACTATACTGTCATTATAACTTCAGGGCACATACAATCAAACAAATGTAAATCGTTTGTTTACATCCAAAACAGGAGAATTACTTAATTCATCAGCAAAACAAGCAATCACATGTTGTTCAGTTCCTTGTTCACAAAAACAAATTTAACTTACAAATAACATAATAAAAATAAAAAAAATATTATTAAAATAATGACTTCACCAGTTGATAAGAACACTACTGTAACAAAAATTTCTGATGAAGAACGTTTAAAGCTAGCTGCAAAATTGGATAAAGAGCTTGATGATTTTATTGATAGTCTAGGAGGAAAAAAATATACGGATGGATGGCCTGAAGATAAATGGCAAGAGGTAATTATAAAATATTTAATGCATATGTTACAAAAATAAACTTTATGTTCAATTTTTATATCTAATAGGAAATGGAAAAACATCCTTTCTTCATGAAACAAGCTCCTAAACCTGGTGACGAAGTACACCCTCTTTTCGAAGGAATGCAACAATTAAAATATGATCCTGAAGAAAATACTGCAGATGAATTAGCTTTAAATTATAAAGAAGATGGAAATTTTTACATAAAACATAGAAAGTTTAGGACTGCAATATATGCTTTTACAGAAGGGTTAAAAGCTCGAAGTGAAAATTCGGAAACTAATGCTATTCTCTACAATAATAGAAGTGCAGCAAATTACTTTTTGCAGAATTATAGGTATTTATCCACTTATTCTTCAATGTGAACAGTATAATAAAAATAAAAAATCTTAGTTCTTAATCTGTAGTAAAACTAAAAGATTTGTATTACGAATATTTTAGTACTAGAAATGGTAGCTAGAATTATTTATATATTAAAAGCTTAAAGCGAATATGCTGAATTGGAAAAATCATCCCGAAATTTTATTTTCTAGTTTAATTTAGTAAAGAAAATTTTTGAAAAAAATAATGTGAAATGGCCTGTATTCGTTATAAGCTCCTGATCCAAACTGCAACCGTAACATTTTTTAACTAATTAAATTTATTATATTTAACTATTTAAGATCATCATATTTAGATGCTTTACAAGCATTAAAATTAAAACCAGACTATGATAAAGCCCGATGGAGAGCTGCACAGTGCGCATTTTTTATTAAAAACTACGAGGAATGTTTAAAATACTGTAACGATATAATAGAAAACAACTCAGAAGATGAAAAGGCGAAAGAACTCCTTAAAAAATGTAAGACAGAAAAATTGATACAAGAACGAAACGAAAGAAAACAGCAGTTGTTAGCAAATAAAAAACAAATTGAATTTAAAAAAGTCGTAGATGCTTTAGAAAAGCGAAAAATAAAATTTGATGATATTGGGAATAATAAATTAATAACAGAAGAATTGCTTAAACCTAAATTTTTACCACTTGAGGATTTTCCTTGTAAAGTAGATAAAAATGGTGTACTATCATGGCCAGCAGCATTTTCATATCCTGAATTTTTATTCAGTGATTTTCAGCAAATTTTAAATGAAGAAATTGTGTAAGTTTAATTTCAAACATATTCGGTTTATTTATTGTACATGCATTTATTCCTTTTCTACATAGGATGGAAAAATGTTTAGAAGATATGCTACCGTTACCATGCGATACAAGTAATAATTACAGAATTGGAAATTTGTCTGTATACTATGAAAATCGAAAAGCCGGAAAAGTGTTCGCAGTAAACTTAAATAAAACTATTAAAGAAATAGTAAATGAAAAAAAGTATACAATTAAATTATTTTACTATATTATATAGTATATAATAATTATTTATTCTATAGTTTTTATGTTAGTGGAGGATCTCTACTCTTTTATGTGGTTCCTAGAAATAGTGATGTTGAAAAAGAATTTATTCAAGCAGAAAGGAGACCTATGGTATATTAACCATAATGCTATTTAACTTAAAAAATTTTAGTTATTTTATATTTTTGTTATTATATTTTCTAATTTTCGTAAAACAAAATAAATATACATATTTTGTTAGGAAACTTAAAAAGATACATAATAAACAATGTATATATTATTACAGTTGATTGACTTCATGCCAAAATGTCATTATTTTTCCCAAAATGAAATAAACATAGAATTTGCCTCCCAAGTATATGCAATTTTTTAGAGAAGTATGTTGAAATAATTCGAGGATCGTTTTATTTTGGAGTGCATACAAACAGGCGTACATTTAATATAATAAAATTACATATGTATGTATTTGCAATGTATGCTGACAAATTTGTATGCAATCTGCAATGAACATAAATTCTCGATCTAAAAGTTTATTCAACTAAAAACTCAAGATGCAACATACAATGTAATTATTCCAAAAAATATTTGAACACTGATAAAAATTTAATTAAATTCTGTAGAACTAATATTTCTATTGAATATCTTTAAAGTTGTTTAAAATCAAAATATATGTAATTCTCATTATTACAAAGTAAATTTTTCTTTTTATCTATAGCTAAACATTTTTTATTGCTCTTGCTTTTTATAGTTACATATTTTATTTTCCTCGTCTTTATATTTAACCATATTCACAATATTCCGAAATCTAGAAATTAAAAAATAAGCAAAACAATAATATTTTGATTGGGAGAAACTAAAACACATCGAACAAGTTTGTTTGGTCGTCGTCAATCGTCATATTTTGAATTTTACAAAAAGCTAATCAGTTTTCTTTAGAGTTTCGAAATGAATGGTAATATTGAACGGAGATTCGAATTATATATTTTAAAATAAAAATAAATTTTTAATTCATTAAAATTTATGGCGCGCGTGTGTTGGTTTACCATCTGGTCGGTGTTATCTTTTGAAAATGATATTCTTGTATTTTCAAATAATATAAATAAATAAAATAAATGAGAATATATAGTTTGGTGTCGCGTGTTCCTTCTTAAAATAAAAGAAAAATAATAAATTTGGAAAATATGAGAAAATATTTTTAATATGAAAAAAAAAAATATAGTATTAAGAAAATTTTTATGAATAAAATTACAAGAGAAAAATATTTTTCTTTCTAATGTGACATGACTTAAAAAAAAAGTAAAAATAAAAATAAATACGGTAATAAAATAACAGTGAAGAGTTTCTAGTTTAACAAGGGAAAGTTTCAATTCCAATATCTAAGTTTATATTTTAACTAAGTATTGCAAACTTATATATACATATATGTATGTATGTTTACATTACATATTATGCTTATACAAATATATATCTTAAATCTAGTATTTTTCTTAAGTCATCATACTTGTGTTTACTTTTGATATTGTATTCCTAAAAATAAGAGTAAAACAAAAAACTACAACACAATAGTGTAAATTAAATAATCTCGTCTCAATTTTAAACAATATGCATACACACATACAATTTGTATGAAGGTGTGCTAGTTTTACCTGATTTACTTGCAACATTAATTTTGTTGATTTTATATACATATATGTATGTATATAAATCACGTAATTATTGTCACAATATAATAATAGTAATATACATACATACTTATTTATTATATTTAAATACCTACACATATTGCAGTATCAAACAATCAGAGTAAAATCTTACTTTTGAATTAAGTGATATTTGTATGTATGCCAGTTTCTATGAACATAATATTATTATATATAAGCAAACAATATATACAAAGCCAAGAATTTATTCATCAAACTCAGATTCCAGGTAAAATATCTTACTAAATTTTAGATTTACCTATATAGCTAAAAAAAAAAAAATATTTTTGGATAAATTTCAGAATAACTTTTTAAGAAATTTGTTTTTTTTTAGGTGAACGACAAAAGATTGGTTTATTATTTGAATTGGTTTGTTATTCTAATTTTTGTTTTATATTATTAAGTCACCGAAATGGTCATCATTGTTTTTAGTCAATTCCTTATAAGAATATTTAAAATTTCTTCATTTGTGTGTCTTTATTTTTTTTAAGTTTTCGTGTTACAGGCTTGCGATGAGCCTTTAATTTTATTATCATAGCGTTTTATTATGTCTCTTTTTTTTCAAATTGTAATTTTTATAATTTAATATAAAATAGCTTAAAAAATTAAAGGTTTTAATATTTGCATTTCTTTGGCAAAAAAACCTCTTGCAATACCTATAAATTAAGTAATAAAGTACATTAAGTAATTTAAGTTATAGGCTTAACATGATTGGCGATGCAAATTCCATCTTTACAAATATGAATTCTTGATGCTATCATAGGTGATTTCGCATAAATTTGAAAGAAATTACTGTCGAGTAAACCAACTATTTTGATTAATTGTAATTTTTAATATTTGAAATTACATAAGAACAGTTTTGATCTGTTCAAATTAAATCAATCGCCTATATCATTCAATAGCAATATCGCTTCGTCGATTATATTATGAGACCCTTTTAAAAAAATTACTTACACAAAATTTTAGTACCTAAATTAATTATTAACAGATAAACTTAACCAGTGGATATAGAACCAATAAATCGAATTTTGTAAGAAGCTCTCAATACAAGTGATTATTAATGAGGAAATTTTTTTTTATTTAAGCTTTTTTTATTAAGTGATATTGGAATTCTTTCAGGAATCCGGTTTTACACATTACCAAATTTTATTATGGAAGTACATAATAATTAAAAATCTTCAAAAGAATTGTTATAAGTGCTCTTTTTATTGCAATCAGCATTTTAAAACCAGGATATAGAAAAGAAAAGTTATCGAATATTTTTTTAGAATAACTTAAAGTTTATCGTAATACGAGTAATAATAAAACATACGGTATATTTCATAGATCTCTTTAAAATATTGAGAATAAATAGAAGCGTTTTGTAATATTAAAAATGATAAAATGAATTTAATAAGGATTTGGTGTGAACCATTAAAAATATTTATTTTAAAAATAATTAAGTATTTTTAAGCATAAATTTTCTATTACTTTATGGTTTTCTAAGTATTTCGTTTTAATAATGAAAAAAATTTTGTTTTTGTCAATTTTTTTTATTTACCAACTATTTGTATGGGGTGGTAACTATTTCCATTAATATACGAAGCAATTATTAGTTTTTAATCTATTAATTATTTTTTTACTTATTCTCAAGGTGTTGATTTTTTTTTCTCATATTTATAATACAAAAAAAATATTAGCGATAATCCTTGAAAATAATTTTATTTGTTTTTTTGTTAAATTAAAAATAATAACTTTATGATAACCGTTTAATATATTAATTTTTTTTCTTTTGTAAAATTTAAAAATAAATGTGCTTAATAATTAATTTTGGTCATTCTTATTTATAAATAAATTTAATGTTTTCTTTTATAATTTTTAATCCATTAAAAATTTTAATGGATTAAAAATTATATAAGAATTAATCATCAATGGTCCAAGATTCGCACTTATTCATATTTAATTTTGATTTTTATTTGTGACTTTTACCTGAACGTTATTTATTTAGTATTTTTTTTTTTTGGGATGAGCTACTTAAATACCAATAATGTTTTCATATTTACATAAACAGAATGTTAGATCAGTAAAATATTAGATATAAAGGCATTTGCTAATATTTTGTGCATAGAAACCATTTTGAAAATATTTAAGATTACCTATTGCTAACTAATTTTAGAATTTATGTGTAATTGATAATGAAAAATATAAATTAGTTTGTGAGCTATTTTTTTGGTTTTTTAATATATAATTTTCAAGGCAACTACAAAAATTCATAATTATGTACATGCTTATATACTGAAAATATACAAAAATTTAGTAAAAGAAAAATTTCATGAGCATTGATTAATCTATAAAACGAAGAGTTTGGTAATCTTTAATTACAGAATAGGTTAGGTAATCAGCAGATTTTGTTTCAATAAAATTAATCTGGTAATGACGAAATTTAAATGTTATATAAATAATATTTAAAATTTATAACAAAATTTTGTCATACAATAATAAAAAAAATTAAAAAAAAGTAATTTCAAGAGAAAAAGATATTTATATAGAGAGTTCGAATGTTTTAAAAGAAAATGTCATAATTGGCTCTGAGACAAAATAAGGTTGCCGGTCTGTGATTGATGTACATATATTTACATATTTTATACATTTATATACGAATTTATGATCGAGTTAAACCATAATTCAAAAGCTTAGCAATTTATTTTTTTAAATTTTCTTAAAAACAATATGGTGTTTTTTGAAAATTTCAAAAAAAATTCATGGTCTTTTGATATTATATAAATTAAAGTATAGACCAAACTAAACCAAATTATTTACAAAGTTTGTTGTCTTTTATTTAAAATTTATTTTTCACTATAATTTATTTTTAATTTTAATATTTTTTATATTGAATATACCCGGGTATTAAATTATGTAGGTGTTAAATATACTTAGTTTGTTACGACGCATGTAATACCAAAAAGAAAAACTCTTCGACCTCGTATATATATATATATATATATATTCTTCTTTAGAACCAAATTCTTATCGAATATTTTCTCACCAAATCTAAACTTTAAGTTTAAGTGTTGGGACTTGAAATATGGCAGGGACGCATGCAGATCCGTATTGAAAATGTGATAGATTAGTCCGCCCAATGGAGCTGTTACCTCCAGTGCAATTTTCCGCTAGTAGTATCTTTAAATTCATCAAATATTATCAAACGCACATTGTTAAAAGGGCCACCGACATTTCTAAAAACTTATTTAACATCGGTCTTCTAGGATTCCAGATCACGGGCCCTAATTGCACCAATCGGTTTTTACAAACACTAGTGAACTATACTATATTAATAAAAAAAAAGTAAATTTTTAAAAAGTTAAAAAGTAAAAGCAAAAGTGAAAGTAAAGTGATTGGTGGAATAGGGTCCTGAAAAAACAATTTTAAAAAATTAAGTTAATACGCCGGTGCATATCGTTGCAAAGGTCTTGAAAACTCTCGGACTCCAAAAACTCTACTTAAATAATATAACAAAAGTAGGTCTCGAAAAACGCTTGTTCAATAAAATTTTAATATTTTATTTTTTGTATGTTTGGGGCTAAAATAAAATTGATTTCAAATATTCGAGTACTTAATTTTGAAAGAGACCAAAATGAATTTTTTTATTTGTTTTTTTTATGGTTTTCTATAGCTACACACAAAAATACTTAATTTTAATCAATTATTTTAGAGATTAATACTTTATTATGGAATTAAAGAACGTAATTAAATTTTTTTTTTATTAACACTATGATGTTAATTCTTTGCTAATACTAGATAAAAATTGCGTACCTACGCGTTTATAATTCTTAATGTTAATTAACGTATGTATAGGTATGTACACATAAATTTATGTGTATGTAATACATAAAGTATAAAAGTATATCGTAATTGTATAATGTAATTTTTATACCGCAAAACTTCAATTGATTTTAAATAACTATTAAAAATGTTGTTAATTACGCAAAAAGTGTCTATTTCCTTTTTGTTTTAAGCATTAAATTTAATTAAAAATAAAAACAATATAAAAGAAAATTAGTTGAAAAAACCTTGTAATTGACTCTAAATGTAAGTAAATCACAAATTACAAATTTACAAAACACAAAACCTACTACTTGAATTAAAATTTTAAAAATCATATTGTTGGCTACAAAATTACAAATTCAATTTTCGGCTTAAATCTTTTGATTTCAATTAAATTTAAGGTTACAAACATCTTTTAAATAGTTTAATTTCCTTTTTAAAATTTTGAAATCTTTTTTTTTTCATTAAAAACTAAATATTTACCCAGAAATTTTTCATATATGAAAGAATATAGAATTAATTCGAAATTGAATTGAATTTAAATTTACTGGCAATACTAAAGTAGTCTAGTTATACCAAAATTAAGGTTCTGTTCAAAGAACATAATTTTTGATGTTTTATTTAACCTTTCCCTCTCCTTCCAAACGTATTTATAGTTGAAATACCATATTCCGCCCCCCTTGATTGTTACTTAGTGTCCGATCATCTCCTAAAAATTTAAAATTCTACCAAAAATTCTAATCTACTAAAAATTTATTTTCATTTTTGGAATTTTTTTTTTCAAATTTTAATAAGCATAGTGATAGGGCTTAGTAACTCTAATAGTTTCAAGGTACTTACTCTAATAGTATAAACCTTAGATTGTTTAAATTTTCATTATAAGCCAAAAAATGTACGATCAAATAATGAAAAACATTTTAGTTTGAACAAGTTTTACTCATTTTACACCTGAAATTTCAAAAAACTTAAATAATTAATGGCGCCGTTTTATCATAATTATATTAAAAATTATATTTCTTATAAACAGCATAAAAAAAATTGAATAAAGATATTATTACGCCGTAACACTTAGCTATAAAGCAAAAATATTTAAAAGAAGAAATGATTTTATACATAAATGCTAAAGGGGAAAAAAAAACTTTAGATAAAGGAGGAAAAAAAATTACAAATCTGCAATTTCATATTTAAAAATTGCAAGGAAGAACTCAATCTTAAAGGCATTATTATATAGTGAATCGCAATTTTAAAACTCAAAGTCATACTTTGGTTGGTTTGTGTATAAAAACATGTTGTGGGTACGAATAATTATGTTCTGTTTATATATATACTACCATATGTGTATGAATACATGTATGTATGCATAAAATTTAATCCCGATAAAACAAATATTTTAGTAAGACCAGATTAACCGGTTCCTAATATTCA